TAGTGAATGGGAGCAGTGGCCTAGTGGTTAAGGTGTTTGCATCTCAACCCAGGGATTATGAGTTCGAGCCCTAATCTGGTCACAACCTTGTTTATTTACATGACACCAGTACCGGTTGGTTCCAGTAAGTGGACTTGAAAGTGATTAATTTAAGTTGCAAGAACTTGATTTGTAATCAAGCTTAAATAATTATGTTTAAACTAATTAACCCCCAGTAGTCATGGGTTTAATACTTTGGTACTCAAACTTCTAGACAAACCAGTGATCATGAATTGCAGACAATGATGACAAAAATCTAAAATTTCTTAATAACTACAAGTAGGTTATAAATTCAGCTGGGATAATGGCATTACACAAACAATGCTAATTTCATTGCTGCTAACCTCAATGTCCATTGAATCTGGGGACATAATCAGGCAATTTTAGACTTGTTTCTCAAGTTATCAAATTATCTTGAATCAGTTAAAAATGACAGCATTGATAAAAGTCTGTGCAATATGATAAAAGTGGCTGACATTCAGACAGAAAATCTAACTCTTCAATTTATTTCATAATTCATTGACGTGCACTTTTATGAAATAAATGTGACATATCAACAATCTACAGGCCAGACACTGACCACCAGCTTGGTCAGTCAATCATTTTAGCACTTAACTACACTAGATGTCAGTCTGCAGCATACATGTCCAGTTCATGTACTGACCAATAAAATCATGACTAAGTGGAAAATGAATGGTGTTGGTCAAATGAAGGGGGGCTATGTGAGGTTAAATATGAAATGACCATTAAGTAGGCTGCAGATTGTTTTGTGGAATGAGTGTTTGTGTGTGTGTGTGGGGGGGGGGGGAGAGAGGGAGGGGGAGAGGGGGGGGAGAGAGAGGGGGCAGTGGGTTCATTGTTGGCAAGTGATAAGGAGTATGTAATGGTCAAAGCTATAAGATTTTTGTATCATTTTTAAAAACTGTTCTATATCAACCTTTAAGAACAAAACTTTTAAGAACAAAATTGGTGATCAAAAATGTTTTTTTATTTTTTTTTAAAGGTAGGGACATTCTCAACAAACAAAAGTGTAAAGTGAAAGAAAGGATACAGTACTTGCATTTGTCATTTTTGACTAGTATTTTCTATAAGGGGTTGGGGGGGAGGGGTGTGTGGGGGCAAAGTCAATTTAAACGTATTTAAAATTAACATGATCTATGAACCAAATTTTTTTCAATATGTAAATAAAGAACATCAGACAAAAGCCAATCTACCATGCTTTCCTCAATTGATATTAATGTAAAGAATTACCAGCAGTCCCTTTGTCAACAGTTTTCGAAGGGCTTTTGACCAGCTACTGTGGCTTTTTCTGTCCCAATCTGGATACCTTCATTAACATTGTATTACAATTCTAAGAGGAAATATCCCCTATACTGGTAACTTTTACCAAAAGAATTACTTAGCGTATTTATTTATTTACACCATTTACATTAGTAGTTTTTTTTGTATGCTGATATAACCTACTTAGTTGTCGCCTAACGATTTTTTTGTTCCCTCCGCCAAAAAAAACCCAGTTAATGAATGCAAACAACACGATACACATCATAGTGGTTAGTGACCCTATCTCCTCCGTTAATAAATGTCACCTAGTATAAAGATCAGTTTCTTATAAACCAGAAATATTATTAACAAAACTACATTTTCTATAAATATATATCGCTACTTAAGTATTATCTCCACAATACTAGAAAGAAAATAATTATGTTTAATAATTAAATACGACTTGATATTCTCTTTTTAAGCGGGCCTTCAGCTTTTATTTTCTGTGTTGTTTCAAATTAAGTTTTTCAGTAATTTTACCTTAAAGAAAAGCATTATATCACTTTATCAGTTTTTAAAACAGCATCCTGAGAGCTATTTATAGCGCATCAGTGACATTCTTTTCTAAAAATGGATCGGGAAACAAATCGTCCGCTTTACTAATTTTAATATAGAGAGCAGATCGGCACATTACAGGTATCAAAAAGGGGCCATAATTGTGTCAAAATCTGTGTAAGAGTTATGGGCCTTGATCAGTGACCTCTTTTATGCTCCCAAGTAAGTTTGTAAAGTTCCAAACCATTCCCTTCACTACTTTTAGAAATACCAAAATTGCACAATTTTTTTTACCAAAGCGTGTTTCCAAAGCCTGTGTGAGTACAATACTCTCTCTATTCTTTAAATAGTCAAGCCAGCATGCCAAAAATATGCCATAGATATTATTAAATTGTGAAAACTTCTTATTTATGTACGGCAGATTTCCTTTCCACAAAGTGAAAATGAAAAATTAACCACAATCTTTCTTGCGTGGATTTCTTCTCAAGACAAATTACGCAGTCATTCTCGTGTCGTTGTGACATTTCTCAAAATCTCTGGTGCACGTTAATGAACAATATATAAATGTATAATAAAAACCAAAATTGTGTCATAAATTAAAACATACAATTATACATCACAAGACATATATATTTCCTACATCATAAACTATGTGAATATTAATATAGCCAAAATATATATACTCCAGTAGAATTGATTACAGTCAAACGTGTATTAAGCGACCGCGCAAGGAAAACACCCAAAACGGTCGCTTAATGAAACGGTCTCTTAAGACAGTCAGCATGATATAAAAGTCAAAATTTATAAATGACATCTCTTTTATGAAGTGGGAATGTTTTTCAACTTCATTTTTATATGAATGTTGAATAATTAGTGCGCTACAATTATCTAAATGGATGCAAATGTAAAAATAACTTTCTGATATTTCTTGACAAATTACGTACATGTTTGACATTTTTTCCAGAGTTTTTGTAACTTCTCCGTTGTTTTTCCTTGTCTCCAACACGAAAACCCTTTTAGTAAAGATGCTTTCTGTTGTGCATTTTTTCATTTGAAATAAACAAACGACAACTAATTGTTACGATTAATTTAATTGCTGATCAAGTTCAAGGTCAATTCAATGCAGTCTAAATGTCAACAAGCGAAGCGTATACACCATCTCAGTAGGGGCGGAGCGTTGCATTGTTTATCCGATATTATTGGATAATACACGTCACGGATATACTTAACTTCATTTGCATACGCTGAAACGCTTTGGGAAATAGAGTTTTTCACACGTTTATTTGTTGTGTTTTGATTGTTGACACTTGTGACATTACGAGGTGGCGTTCTCTAAAAACACAATTACTTGACAGGTAAAAGTAGTCGTTTAATGAAAAGATTGATCTCAATTAGGTGACTAATTAGCGGTCGCTGGTCGCGTTGAGCAAAAGTCGCTTAATACATTAAAGATATAGAGAGAAAATGATCGGGGGGAATTTAAAGTGGTCGTTTAAGACAAAAGTCGCTTAATACACGTGGTCGCATGGGCAAGTTAGACTGTATTTCATACCTTTAACAATAGCTACATGTATAATTTTTCATTGCAAAAAAAAGAAGCGCTTACAAATAATAGAAGTATATAATGAAAATAGCAAAAGTTTATTCATTATTGTAATTCATATATAACAAAAGTAGACTGGTTATAATTTATTATATATAAAAGCTTAGCAACAAAAATACAATATTTCCAATTAAATATTTCTTTCTTGCTTTCTTTCATTCTTTCTTTCTTTCTTTCTTTTTTGTTCATTCATCCATCAGTGTGTGTATATGTTTGGATGCATTTTTTCCTTCTTTCTCAGTCATAAAATGTTATATTGTACTAAATTTGATGTGTGTATAATGCTTGAGTGTTTGATATGCTATTTCAGAAATGAAATGTTGGAAGATACATATTGTTCAACGGCTTACCTTGCTATAAAATGTTTTGCACTTTTTGTGCAAATACACTTTTATCAAAATGTGTTATATATATAGGCCAATAAAACTGTGTTTTTTTTCCCATAACAAAACTGACATTATATGCTGCTGACACTTTACAACATATTTTTTAGGGTACTGCCCCCTTTAAAGCAGGGGACGTTTGCAGGCATTTTACACACATGAAAAATCTACAGTTTTTCTCTAAAAAAACAATTAAGATCAAGTTTTATTCTTCCACTTTTACAAAAAATAGTCATTCTTCCCTTAATTTAAGGGAAAGGGCCCTTTGCTCCACCTGTGAAAAAGCTTGGATTCCAAAGGAAGTACTTCATTTTCATTTCATACAAAATAACAATATAAACACCTAACCAAGTTTCATTTTCTTTTAAAGAAACACCAAAAGTAATTTTTATTTTTTGGCCTTACAATTAAGATTGCATTGTGTTAGAGGCACAAAAAATCTTATTTCTTCTTTTTTGTTTTTGTACTATCAGCATAAGTAACCCAGTTAAATGAATGACAGAAAACAACAAGAAGACTGTCAGTAGCCAATAAATAACCTTGACTAAGACTTTATTGCAATATGTACCATCCTAGTACTCGAGATAAATAAATCTGTCATGTAAAATATATCTTTCAAAATTGTTCATGATACTATTTTTGTGATACTTTTTTTTTGCTCAAATATTGTTTTACTCAAGAAGTATGGTATCAAGGTAATAAAGTATTTTCATATAGTATACATCAGAGCTTTTACCAGTGAAAATATGCAAATTCATTTTTTATATATTCTGTGATGTGACAAATAGTGACATTTCAACTACTATACAATGGTGATGATGTTGGTAATTTTCACTGCGGATCACAGCAGTAAGCCGCGTTGAATTCACCAGAGCACAGTTCAGCCACCGCATCATTCCTGGACAGGCTGTCAAGCAGTTTACCAGTACTAGTTACCTCCACTTTTGCAAGGAACTGAAACTTCTGTACATGCCAGAGCAGAGGTACAGTGTGGATGACGGTAGAAGCTTTCATGATCAATCACAACGAAAGTGACCTGCACAGTCTGGGAATCAAACCTGGGTCACCTGATTCACAGTCCAACACTCTACCTAATGAGCTTATCAGACAACTCACTATCATTGGGGTTTCTTTTAAAATCTACTTGTTATGGCACTTACTTGACTTCCCCACTGGTGTTGCGCAGGACTGAGGCAGCATATGCTTGCGTTACCCCAACAAGGCTCTTACCATCTACTTCTATAATCTGGTCATTCACCTGCATTCTGTAAAACATAAGACACCAGCATTATAGATATATAATATTTATATATAAATTTAACCACATATTTCAATTTGTAGCTTAAAGGGACTTCACTGCTGAGGTTTTTTTGACATGTCAGGATTCAGAATATTTTCAGCAAGATTTGTGTACCATTAATTTTAAATATATAGATAATTCAACACAATACCTCAAAAGAAAATGAGCATAATGTCACTTTAACTTGATATTTTTGAAATCTAATTACTATTTATGATTTTTTTTTTAATAAACAAATAATGTATTGTTCTTTTTTTTCCCCACCTTTGCAACATGTCTAATGAGATTTACCCCAAGGGAGACAATATTGCATTCTTTAATTACATAACCTGACATTATTACCTCCCTTGTCATTTACTTTCAAGAAAATCCAGCCTCAATACATACCCCTTTTATTTATCATAAAAATATTTACAAATGACTTTTCCAAGAGCTTCATGTTACTAAATATTACTTAATAGATAGCCAAGCTTCCTGGGCAGTTGCACCAACCTTAATTATTTAACCAAGCTTCTTCAGCAACTGAGATTTATTCAATACCAAAACAATACAACAATACAAGAAAAATGCACGCTTAAATATAACAACAAAAAGAGACTTATAGGCCTCCTACTTAAGTTTTCCTCTATATGACACAAGTATTGTAGCCAATATTTTACATGTTACACACATGCTGGCACTTTACTCATCAATATATATACTCAAGTACTGGAGGTATGGTAACACTTGAGCTTTTGTTGGATTATCATTATTGTTGTTTCTTACAGTACAATAGCATATCTCAATGTAATTTTTTTTTTGTATTCTAACAAGAACTGTTTGTAGATCAGTGTGCTTGATAGTACAACAAGAACCTGGATAATGTAGATTTTTTTATGCTCAAAAAGGGTCATAGTTCTGTCATAGTTATGGGCCTTAGATTATTCTCTAAAATAAGGTTCTAAATTTAAGTTTAAATATAAGTTTCAAGCAATTCATTGGTTGAGGTAGACCTCTGTGCTTTATTTCAGGCACAAAATTAATGTGCACCCGAGTAAAACAACTGACGTTCCGTTAGCAGGACAAAATCTTACTTAACTTGATATGAAAACTGTAGCGTGACATAAAAGTGGCAACACTGATCTGGACAGAGTTCATATAAAATCTTGCTTTAAAATCTTACTTTTCACTTCTTTGTGCAGCACCTCCAGCTGTCAATGTTTTAATGAAAATACCAAGCTTTTCTAATCCCGCATCAGCACCAACTCCCATTCCAATAATGCTGAGACCGAGGCCTTCTGGCCCTGAAATGTATAAATAAAACATACATGAACCAAAAATGATGACAAAAGACCTTCTGGGTGTAAAAAGGATAAATGAAACATAAATGAATCAATAATGCTGAGACCAAGGCAATCTGGCCCTGAAAAGTATAAATAAAACATACATGAACAAAAAATGCTGATAAAAGACCTTCTGGACGTGAAAAAAGGATAAATGAAACTGCATAAACCCAAAATCCACAGCACATCAACATTAAATTCAATGTCCAAGATAAATTGTCATGGACAAATTAAGCCTCGGCCCTCCCTGGTCACAAGGTAATGCATCAATCAAATATTTGGGGCCTCTGTCAGAAGCACAGTGGCTATGAATTGCTGAATAACTTTTTCACTTGGGTCATCACAACTGTAAACTTAATTTCAACCAGAAAGTTGAATTTTTTCAAGAGAAGAATTTATATATATGCAGCTAGTTTATAGAAGCTTGATGATTATTATAACATCACCTTATAGTGCAATAACTGGTTAACTCCTATTAAATTTAGAAGGACTTAACCCGTTACAGCACTAAGGTGACGATAATCCAATACCTTCTCATTCTTGAAATAATGCATGGATAGGTCAAGGTTACTGAAAAGTAATGCTAAGAGTCTATACAATTAGTTTTTAAGTTTAGAATTTCTAAATAAAAAGATTTTTGTTGGGTTTTACGTCACACCAACACAGTACAGGCCAATTATGGCGACTTTCTAGCTTTACTTGTGAAGGAAGACCTCAGGTGCCCCTTTGCGCATTCTATCAGGCACAAATGGGCACCCGAGTGGAACAACTGACTTTGTGTAAGTTAGCTGGATAGCATTGGCACATGAAATAATTGGAAGACCCTGGTGCAGGTCAGTCAGACTGTTTAAAAAAAACATATCTGAACATAATAAAACATATTTAATCATCAAACATGATTGACCGTTTGTCTTTCTTAAAACAAAATCATTATATATTCATGAAATTTTTTTCACATCTTCTATGTCTCTTAAAGACAATATAAATGTTAACAATATGAAGAAATAGTAGTATACAAACCTCATATCAAAATGAACATCAAACATCATTTGTTGTCAAATAATGAATTTATCCTTGTTTAAAACACATGAAAACATTAATATCCAGGGAAGTTAAATGAGTAAACATCAAAAATACAATAACTTTAAAGGTTAGAAAATAATTGTAACCAATAAAGACTGTAATATAATTCCTTTTATCTTCAAATCTTAAGGAAATACATCATTTAACTTCTATGTGCAGTTACATAAATCATTTTCCTTTATAGACAAGAATCACATCAAAAACTTATACGGAATCCACAGAATAAATGAAATTTCAATTTAATTTCCACATGTATTAATCAAACAAAAATGGCAATTTTCAGAGCTCACTTCTTGACACTTAACAATGTGTATCTAAAAAGAATAAAGGAATTATTCTCTTAATAAATATGCACTTAAAATCCATTTATTTCCAGTTATCTTTAACAAAAAAAACAACAATAAGTAGATCTAGGTAAACATAATCACAAAATGTCAACTTTTAATTCCGTAACTCACACAATTATTTCTCAAAACCGATCATTATTATAATTATTGTAAGATATATTTTGATATATATATATACACACACACAAGTTCTACTTCATTTCATTAATCCAAATTAATTAACCGAACATAGAAATTTTAAGCAGTTTTTATCAGATTATTTTTTACAACAGTGAGCTGCTTTGTACTCTATCCCCCCTCACTTCATCTCTCTTCTCCAATGTTTACAAAGGTTCTCCTTGTTTCACAGAAATATTTATAGAAAATTACTATCTCCGAGAACACTTCTTTGAAATTTGAACTGCCCAGACAAACTGCACATGTGTGCTTTGATAAGCTGACATGATCTATAAACAAACTGAACCAGTCTGTGGAGTCAGAGAGGAAAAAAAATCATACATTTTAAAATTTACATAAAACCAGTCCAAAAAAAAATCCTGCTCTTTAAATGCTTGCATTTCTTCATTTCTTATAAATCTCTTCATTGGTCTGAGTGGCGCTTTTATCTAAGAGGAACCATTCTACACACTATCAAAAAACTATTTATTTCTGAAGACCAGTCCAATGCCAAGAAAACTTTAAAGAAATCAGCGGAACAATTCTACACTGAAGAACAAAAACAGCTGCAAAAAATCTACACATACTACAGAACAAAACAAAAGTAATTGTGTCCATTTCTCCCACCTTTTTTTTTACAATTCAGGAAAGGAAAGGGAATGCTCTGCACATCTGATAATGTACTCACTGGGTACAATTACCTACATTATGTCTTAAAACATAATTTGTCTCAGTAATCAGCATGTTATTTTCTTTTGAGATTAGTAGTACAGTACTTAATATGAAAGCTCTTGGGTGGGTGGGTTGGGTGTTTGAAGTCTACCCTCTGTATCACAGCAGAAAGCCACTTAAATGAGAGCACAGTTCAGTCACTGCATTGTTCCCGGGCAAGCTGTCAAGCAGTTTATCAATGCAAGTTGCCATCACTTTCGCCAAGAACTGCTGTGAGGTGACTTTCCAGCTTTACTGGTGTAGGAAGACCTGAGGTGTACCATTTCAGGCATAACAGGGGGCACCTGAGTAGAACCACCAACTACTTATTACTCAAACCCATAGTATCAATGATCCCTATAAATTATCAGGAAAAACAATATAATTCAAAAGGTAACTTAAATGTTTATATTTAAAATTTAAAACCTCTTGAAAACCAACAAATGCATTAGCTTATACTTCATGTATATTAAGGGTCAGTCCCTAAAATTGCAAAAGGTTGGTCCCATTGCACATTACGTATTGGTAAATACTGAATGGCAACATACCATTCCTTACATTGTGGCACCACTACTACTTAATATATACATTGCTCTAAGCCATAGCAGAATAGCAAAGAATCTATAATTGTCATCACAATTTGCCAATTTGCCATTATTAATAGGAAATAAAAAAGATCAAATTCCTGATCATTCCCAATGTTTTCTTACTGCCAACTCTATTAAGATATAAGGTTACACAGTCATGGTATTATTCTAGAAATTAAAGATAACAATATATGCAGGTCTATTAAATTATTCTACACTCATAATCTAAAGCACCATCGAAAAGACTGGAAACATATTTTTGGTATCTTGAATAAACAGTTATAATATGGCTTCTATAAAATGAACTCTTTTGACTCTTACAAAATAGCAGAAATAATGATTTTTCAGATCAGTAATAGTTTTTCTCTTATTAACTTCATTCAATCCTAATTTTTATTTCACACTAACACTTTAAGGGTTCATAATATGGCAACTTTTCAACAAAGGAAACTGAGGAAAGGTCATATGGCGACTTTCCAGCTTTACTGGTGGAAGAAGACCTCAGGTGCCCCTCCATGCATTTTTTCAGGCACAAACTAGCACCTGTGCAGACCCATCCATGTAAAGTCGTTCCTTTATCCATATAGCTGGATAGCTTCTGCACATAAAAGAATCAAAAGTCTCTAGTGGGATCCAAACCTTCTGTAGTAAGGGGCAAATGGCTTCAAATCAATGACCCATTTGGCCATGGACACCCCTAATGTACCCATAACAAATTTGATCTAATCACATTTGCATTGAACTATGTGAGGTTAAAATCTTTCTCAATAAGACAGCCATCTGTTTCTGTACACATTTCTTTGTATTCTTGATATTATATTATTTCTTGAAATTGGTCATAAATCAAAATTTCAAATTAATAGCTGTATATATAAAACAGATAACAATCCCACCCCGACTGCAAGCCATAATGGCAGTCCATCATTTCCTGTTGCATCATTAGCCCACAGCAAACAATACCTGTGTTTCTGTTGTACCACCAAATCCACAGATACAAGACATCTTTGCATTTCATTTAGTTTTAGAAATCACAGTGTATATATGGTATCACACAAAGGAGCATTCAAATTACAAATACAAATGTAGGGGCATCAGTGGCCAAGTGGTATAAACTGCAGACTTCAGAATTTCAGACTCTCACACAACAGTTTTTATTCAATAAAGTTTAGTCAAGCACTCTTAATTTCAACTGCAAACCAATGGTGTGCATTCTAGCTGTATGAGATTTCCGCACTTTGGTGTTACCTGTTATACACAGTGGATTGATGAGCAGTTATCTGTTAGACTCATAAAAACAATCACTGACAGATAAACTATCTAAACAGGTGCAAAAACATTCTCAAAGAGCCTGTACACACACAATTATAACAGGGCTGTTGCAGACTAAAATGTTTGTTTAAGGGGGAGCTGATGATTCCTGAAGTTAATGTATGTAACTTCAAACAACTTTTTTCATTACTCAAAGCCATATCCTTACAATGATTTTTGTTCAGACTTTGGTATAAGTTATTATGTAACACTCCTTTTGAGTTTTTTTTTCTTCAAATTTATTGGTGTCCTTATTGTGTGTAATAAAACTGATCTGTTCTTACCATACAAAATATCTTTAATGGACCTGTCCATCTCTAAAATCTGGACAAAACCATTCCACATTATTAGGGATAATATCTAAACATGTAGACTGAATAGAAAAGCAAACCAAACTGTACAGACCATGATCAGATGGTAAGAACAAAAAGAATTGAATGCCAGGTGCATTATCTCCAGTGCATGTCTAGAATTAATGATGTTCAGTAAACTTGCACAGGGTTCCTTCCTCAAAAGAAATAATCCAAAGTCCTGAGACAGAAATAATTCAGAGTACTTTTGACACAAGAGTCAATAAACCCCTCAAAAATGGCATACACTATGACTAAAATATTATGTATCAACTGACGAAGCTAATAAAGCAAAACATGTATTGATATTTAAATTTGTGTTGGTTTTTGATCTAACTGTCCTAAAATATTATTGCAAATAACACGGAGTCTGGACCTTTCAATTACACAAACATAAATTTTTTTTGTTTATTTCATTT